TTATGATCATTGCAAAGGTTGACCTTATTCTAACCTATCATATTTTGCCTTAAGTCAATCATTTTCTAACTGAAGGTGCCAATAAATTATCAATACCTGCTTTGATAAAAAATCTCATTGTTTCTTTAGGGCATGAATCCTTCTCAACTACTACACAGATGGGAGATTTAATAGATGATTGAATTTGATCTTCATTTTGTGAACATTTTGTGTTACAGGATATCCATTGTCTCAATACCAAGATTAATGTGGGCACTTATTGGTATGCTTACTGTTTTTTTAAGGCCAAGCTGGTGAATGCCATCAACAAGCATTCCCATCAGAATGAGAAAGGTGACCTCTCTGCAAGACAGATAACACACACACCAGCAGCTGACTAGGCCGATTTGCACACCTTAAGCCTGAGATGAAGGACTTAATCAGCAAAATCAGATGGTGTAGTGTTTGATTTGAATACAAATCTGCACACTCCTAGCTCTTGATAACATCCAGGTGAGGGTCAATGAGTTAAAGGATAATTCCGCTTTACGTCATCTCGACACATTTCCCATATACGGGGATGTTGTGATCTTTTCTTAGCCTCCCGTAGACACAAAGCAGGGAGTCAGTGTTCTTATCCATAATGGACAATAAAATAAAATGCCAGCGCCGAGCACATGACATTAATCACAAGTGTAACAATCAAATGTAAAAGGCAGTGACTCAGATACTGTGTATTCCGCTACTGAAACATGTACTTATATAAGGTTCACCGACCAACAGTGCACAAAAAGCTCCACCTTTACCATCTACAGCAGTAAAACGCTACTTAGGTATTTATGCAGTAATCCAGTGATATATTGTAGAGTATAAACAAAATACGTCTCTCAGTGGGGCCAATGCCCTAAATTATGGGTACTTTAGGTACCTTTAGGTCATGTGCTAATAGAATTTATGTAATTTTATGCAGGACTTAAACTAGTAATGGCATTTTTATATAGTGCAGTTTTGCTCCCTTTGCTTAAAGGATCTTGTTGTTGTTTATCAGTAGTCGAAGGGGGAAACGACTCTGTTGCAACACTTGGCACAGTTTTGAGCAGAAGCTTGTTTTATGTGTTGCCATCAATCCAAATGTAAACATTATGCTTCTCAGATAAAAAGGGAATCATAACTAAAAATAACCAAGAGTTTTACGTCACGGCAGTCAGTTGCATTTTTGCAGTAACATTTTTGTTCGATATTAACCCTCTCAGGCTCAAATTAAGTTTTTGTTGCTAATCCACAAAAGAATACCTGCAGTGGTACTTCTGAGTAGAAAAAAAACTATGTATGTGGGGTAATCAGGTTGTTAGCTTTTACTTGTTGCAAATCTATAACGCCTGCCTTGAGAGGGTTAAAGAATATCAGTGCAAAAAACCCCTAAATATAGGCTTTAATAAATTAAGAAACACAAGTAAAATGACAGAGTCTCAAAGATTAGAACAGAAAAGCTGCTCTCACACATTGCCGTGCCCCCGGAAAATCACAGAAAAGGTCCTGTTCGGAGGAGACAGTTGTCAAGACTGATAGTGGATGTAGGAGTGTTAAATTTACAGAACAGTTGGTGATGGACACCAAACTAGCACAGCACAAGCCCAGTGCGAATGTTTCTATGAAGCTGTCACGCGATGTGGGAGACCACATTATATATTTGTCCCTTTTTACTGATGACTGAATTATCAGCCGTCTAAATGCTAAAGCTATTCAGTCTGAAGAAATGGTATCTGAGCTGGCCGAGCTGTATGCTACTGGCTGAGGCCCGATTAAAATGACTGCTTAATTAAGTGTTACATGAGGATTAAATTAATATGACAACAGCAGATCTTCTAATCCTGTCAGTCTCTGTGACAAACAGGCACGATTGGCTGAGCTACAAAGTATTCTGGTAATCCAGCCGATTGTGCAACCCAGATCACAAAGAGAAGACATCAATAAAGATGGAATTTGAGCCAGTGTAGGAAAACTGCACATCTATGCGGATGGTATCAACTCCTAAGAGTATTTTATTTCTATACTGCGTTTATCGGTTAACAATTCAAAATGTGCATTTTCTCTTCATGGAGTCTTTAATATTCATACGGTGGTATTATCATAGTCAGTGTTTCAAAGCTCTCTGTACCGCCAGTCAGTGCCGCCAGAGATTTTTAACCGCAGGGAGTCCTGGTCTGTCTGTGGCTATAATAGACTGATATCTCATTAGAAAGACAAGCTGCACTGTACCAGAGGACTTTATTGGAGCTAGTATGGCAATAGAGTGTGTTTTAGTTGTTCTACTGATCAGATTCCTGCAGTTAAATAGGCGGCTTCACTGCAGACACAACATAATTATGGAAGAGCACAGTAAAACACACTGAATGGATAAAATGAACGATGGTTGACATGTTTTTAAAAACTGTAGTTAATAATCAAGCCGTTTCAGAATTTACTAATTTATTCAGCAAAATGTATTAAAAAAAACATCAAATTTACCGCACCACATCAGGGCTGTCACAGATACATTTTTCCGAACGCACATATCTTATTTATAATAGATTTTTATCTAGTTTATAGTTTTGTCTCATTTAGAGGAGCGCTCTCTCTTGACATCAGGCAGCAAAACAAACCATGTCAGAGTTCAGAGGAGCCAATTAGCATCCAACTGGGATCTGTTTGGTTGCAGTCAAGCTCTGTACAAAATCCAATCAGTCATGTTTAAAGTGTGCTCAGATAAGAAATTATACATTTTTAAATCAGACCAGTATAATAAAAAACATCTGCTAAATATCCTCATTTTAAGGAATTGATGGATGGCCGGTTGTTGCTTTCAATAAATGAGACAGAAGAAACCAAACCAGACTTTGTATAAAACTGCATAGTTGTTTTAGTTTCTAATTATTCTGATAAAATAATTTACCATACTGTATATTTCCAGTTGAGTCACACTGAGAAAAATCTGACATGCTCAAGAGTGCAGGAGACAGTATAACAACTTTAAACATAAGCAGTCATGTGGCCCCAAAAAGTTGCCCACACACTTGTCCACCCCTGCTTTAATTAGTCACAAGAAGTCATTAAAACTACTTTGATCTTTCAAAATCGTGTAATAGTAAGAAGCTCTGACAATTTCATGTCCTTCTGTAGGTTTTTCAGAGAAAAAGGCAGCACATTTAGAAGCCCCCCCCCTCCTCCAATTCTGCTACTGTGAGACTGAAGGCCATGCTCGTTTTGGTATGCCATACACGAGTATATGCAGCAGTATAAAGGCTAAATGATCACTGCTTCACAGTGTTTGGCAAAAAAATTAAAACATTTTGGAAGGCAGTTACAGAGACGTGAGAAAATTATGTCAAATGAAGTTCCAAATACCCCAAAACCATTTCTGCTTGGTTTGTAGCCAAAAGAACACAGTTGTCATCAATGTGAACAAACATGACTGAACCTCAGGTTTTAAATCCTAAAAAGCTATCAGAAGTGTTTGGGGGGGGGGGGGCAAACAAAAAACAAAAATGAAAAATAATAAAGCACATTGACTAGAAAATACTCATAGAAAAAGATGAATCATGTCACATCATATACTAGAAAAAAATAACACATGAAAGGTGATTTAGATCATTTTGAACATGGCATGAAGTCACTGGTACTAGAAGGGCGGTTTCAAATTTTTTTGGAAATTGCCACATGGCCGTCTGAGGATTTACAGAGAATTGTCCAAAAAGACAAAACATCCAGCAAGAGACAGTTCCCTGGGTATCTTGGTCATGCCAGAGGTGCCAGAATGCTTTGAGCATACCTTCTGCAAGGTATGCAGAAGAGCATCTTTGACTCCACAACATGTCAAATATTGAAGCAGATTATCTAAAGCAGCAGAAGACCACAGAAGACAGTCCTATCACATCAAAATGGACCAAAATCTCTAAGGAGTGATTTCAGCACCTTCTTGAATCTATGGCATGAAAAATTAAAACAGTTCTGAAGGCAAAAGGAGGTCCAAGTTGGTGTACCTAAGAGAGCAGCTAGCGAGTATATACAAAAAATGGTTTAACGAGTTTGGGAACAATATTTGAACTATTTGCTCTTTGTTTTCTTTGTATTTGGATATTTTATCATTACTGCAATTCTTTTAAAAATATTAATACAATATAACTGAAAGGGAAAAAATGTCCAGTGATATTTTGACTTGAGCTGTATAGCAATGGAGAAAAATGACACGGTAGAATTTCATCATTTTTACGAACAACTGGGAACCCTTTCCCCGTAAGTCTCCTGCTAAACCCACATAGCCACTAACGAGTGTCAACGTTTCAAACTCTTTGGGCCAGATTTACTAAGTAGGACAGACTAGTGTGAGGCTGCAAACAGAAAAAAAAACAGAAGAATAGGAGGGGAAAGTTCTGTGGGTGATCTAATAACAATGTGCACATTTATTAACACAGTCCATCTCCTTTATGTCAATATGAACAATCCAAACTTTAATCTGGCAGAAATAAGTCAGTGACAGTTGGATAAAAGGTGCGACCACTGTGGAAATTTAAAAAGGTGTCTCATGAGATCCACAAGGGAAATTTCACATTTGCAAGCTATCTTGCTGAGTTTTGACTGGTGGGGTGAATTTATTATTTAAATAACATTTGCAGTCTGAAGGCGGTAGACATATGACAAATGACTGCAAATGTGAATGAAGCTAAAACACTTATGCACAACAGCACTTATGTACAGCCTTATTAAAGCCCTGCTTGACTTTCGAATGGTTTATGCAGTGTGTTATGACTTTCAGTTGGAGATCATTGGTAATTTTTGATTTATTCCAGAAAATTATAAATTCTAGTTTGTAATGATAAGGACCTTCTGGCATTCCAGATGAGTCACCACACAATAAGCAATTTTCCTTCATGAAAGGAAAACTTTCTGTGCAAATATAATATTTGTGCAGCTAAATCTGCCCCTTTTTTTCTGTGTGGCTGAATCGCACGCCACCAGCCCCGGGCCAGTTGGTTGGAACTTACCTCCTTCTCTCCACATATATTGCTGATGATTGAGTTGGAAGCTGGACTGGCAGATGGACCAAGGACTGCCACCACCCCTTTGGACATGATCTGGCACACTGAAAAAAAAAATAGAGGAGGAGTACAGAGATATAAGCAGGGGCAATTAGAGGTAGCAGAGATAATTAAAGTAAAGTAAGGCAGTTGGTGTTAGATCAGGCTTTTTTTTCAGGCTAATGTTAATGGATCCATATGATCACTGCCTCAACCTCTGAACAGATAGCAGCCTGCACCAGCATTTCTCCTGTCTCAAGGGAACCAGAAACTACAAGTGTAAGGGAAATATGCACAAGGGCAGATGCTACACTCTATCTGCCTTTGGATGTTTTACTTGTTGGGGATATTAATATGATCAACTCTCAAGTATAAAGACGGAAAGATATGCAGCAAAAAAGAAAGAAGACAATGACGGATAAACAGAGTGGGAGTCGGTGAAAAGCAGACGTTGGGAAATGTGACAAGCAGCAATATCTGGAGGGTGAAAATAAAAAATCTGGTATTTGATAATTTGCACATGAATGCAATAATATCCCCACACACACACACACACACACACACACACACACACACACACACACACACACACACACACACACACACACACACACACACACACACACATCTCATCGTGCTTTTCAAATACAACATTTACAAGGATTGATTTAACAGCGGTACCTTTGGGCTTTAAAACATATCTGTAAACAGAAACATTTCAGTAAAAGTGACTTTCTTTCCTTTGCCATGTGCACAGGCCATATGCTTTAATCTCCCAAACTGGGAAAGAATACCATTTCTTATGTGTTTATAATCCCTGGCTTTTAATTAACACACTGCAGTCCAGGGTGTAAAGAAGACACACATACTGAAGCACTATTATTGTGTGAGCATGTGTGCACCAAGTGTGTGAGTGTGGGTGTTGGTAATTTGGTGGCTGTTATTGGGGAATTGCTGAGCATTAACCAGCCACCAGTGTAAAATAGGCAAAGGGGAAACATTTCCAGGCCCGTGCGGTGCATCGAGAGGCAGTGAATCGAATGATTAATAAGTAATCCGCTAGTCACCCATGGGGCTTGTAAGACATGAATACACTGCCATCTTACATGAAAAAAAACAACACACATGTATACAGTGCACACGCACACACTAACGCATCCATGCCCACACTTTTGTTTGCACCTGTCTGTAATGGCTTCACTGAATTATAAAGCTGAATGATTTGACTGCAAGCCAGAATGCTCCCGGCCCCAGTGACACTTTCATTTGCTCTCTTTGTGCACGGCGAGCTTTTTCTGTGTGTAAATATGTGAGCCATATTGAAAGTATTTGGACAGTTACACTCCTTTTTTTTGGAAAAAAAAACACTGTGTGGGATTCAGTTCTTTTACTATATTAGGTCTAAATTAGAAGGATCCAAAAACATTGCTTAAACTAAACAATTATATAGGTTTATGTAAGTATATGTAAAAGCACTTTACATAGGTTAATTCCTAAAAATGGATGTAGCTCTGGATGAAAAGGTCAATAGAGTGAAATCTGCTTTAAAAAAAACAAACCCAAAATGTTACTCATGGCCCAAATCAAACAGCATTTATAGGCTATCACGCAGCAGAATTAACACACTACTCTTCAGTTGTGCTTTTACTGCTATTAAAAGTTGATGGATAACTAATGAGGTACAATATATTGCCACTAGTATTCGCTCGTCTGCCTTCACATGCATATAGACCTGAGTGACATCCCATTCTTAATCACGAGGTTTAGGAGTGTGTTTATGGGAATTTATGACCATTCTTACAGAAGAGTGTCTGTGATGTCAAAGAATGATGTTGGATGAGAAGGCCTGGCTTGCAGTCTACTCTCTAATTCATCCCAAAGGCGTTCTGCCCGGTTGAGGTCAGAACTCTGTGCAGGCCACTCAAGTTCTTCCACACCAAACTCACTCATCCACGTCTTTATGGGCCTTGCGTCATACACTGGTGTGCAGTCATGTTGAAACAGGAAGGGGTCATCCCCAACCTGTTCTTGCAAAGTTGGGGGCATGAAATTGTCCAAAATGTCTCAGTATACTGAAGCGTTAAGAGTTCCTTTCACTGGAAATAAGGGCCGAGCACAACTCCTGAAAAATCAATTTACACACTGTTCTCGAGCTAAGAACACTATGCGCCTCAGCATCTGCCGCTCTGTGATTTTACATTGCCTACCCTTTAATGGCAGAGTTGCGGTTGTTTGCAGTCACTTCCACTTTGTTATAATACCACTAACAGCTGACTGTGGAATATTTAGTAGTCAGGAAATTTCTGACTGGACTTGTTGCACAGGTGACATCCTATTACGGTACCATGCTTGGGATTCACTGAGCTGCTGAGAGCGACTCGTTCTCTCACAAATATAGAAGCAGTCTGCATGCCTTGGTGCTTGATTTTATACACCTGTGGCCATAGACGTGACTGGAACACCTGAATGCAACGCCAATGATTTGGATAGGTGAGTAAATACTGGCAGTGTGGGGTACATGGGATCAGCTAGAGGATCTGAGTATCCCACATTCAGGGAGTCAAAAAAACCAACAAGATGCTACAACAAGCCATAATTGAAAATGTAGGCGCAGACAAAGTCCAATGAAAGTACAGTGCTGGAGTTCAGGTAGTCACTGACTACCACAGTCTGTTCCTTTCCACATTCATTACCACAATTAATTTTCCTCAAAGGCCTCATGAGAAACTTGGACTGTTGTGAAGGACCGCAACAAAAAGATTATTAAGTGATCAAATTAATATGAAGCTGCACTCGGTTCTGCTTGGTATTCATTTTATTTATACAACGGTCCCAGTTTGTCATGTGGCCTTTGGGGGAAATTAATTACCCACCCCTGCTTTATTTGTTCACAAGAAGTCAAACTCAGCACAGCCCCTTTCTGATGGCAGTCTGACTCAGTCAATGACACTGGGGACCTCTGCTATGAAGATTTTCATCTTCACAAGTCTCAAAGCCAGTGGGACTATTCTTATTCAACAAGGAAGAATGTGCCACACTCTTTTTTTCTGAGGGTGAAAGTGAAAAAATTGGATTCACCTTATCTGGAAGAAAAGCTAAACACCAACAGAAACTGTTGTCTCTGACAGCCTTAAAACCTGTGTGACCATAACTGCCATAAACACAAGCGTTCTTTTTCTCCTTGATAATAACTATTTACATAAACATCTATATACATCTCCAGAAATACTTCACAAGATTTCCATAATTATGCAAGTCCCTCGAGTTCCTTTGTGGTTCAGATCATAAGATCATCTTTAGGCCATTATCACTATTTAACATTGTTTTTCACTAATCAATACAAGGTAGTAAACTCTTGTCCTTAAGAAATAGGGAAAAAATCCAGTTAAGACTCAGGAGATAGGGCTCTTCGGCTGAAATTTTTGGTTTATCGGGTGATGGCCTTCAGCTCACACTGGAGCGGTATACAGCTGAGTGTGAAGCGGCGGGAATGAGAATCAGCACCTCCGAGTCTGAGGCCATGGCCCTCAGCCAGAAAAGGGTGTAATACGCACTCCGGGTCAGCTAAGGAATACTGCCCCAAGTGGAAGAGTTTAAATATCTCGCAGTCTTGTTCACAAGTGAGGAAAGTTGGGAGCGGGAGATCGACTAATGGATTGGTGCTGCAGCGATGCGGACGCTGTATCAGTCCATCGTGGTGACGAAAGAGCGGAGCGTAAAAGCAAAGCTCTTGATTTACTGGTTTACTATTTCCCCACCCCACGTCCCTACACAAAGCGGATGTACACGAACTTTAGGTAGTTACCGAAAGAACGAGACTGCGGATACAAGTGGCAGAAATGAGCTTTCTCTGATGGGTGGCTGGCCTCTCCCTGAGAGATAGGGTGAGGAGTTCAGCCACCTGGCATGGGGTCAGAGTAGAGCCGCTGCTCCTCCACAGGAGCCAGTTAAGGTGGTTCAGGCATCTGACAAGGATGCCTCCTAGGCGCCTCTAGGTGAGGTGTTCTGAGAATGTCCCCCTGGGAGGAGGCCCTGGGGCAGACCCAGGACACGCTGGAGAGATTATATCTCTTGGCTGGCCCGGGAGCGCCTCGGTTTTCCCCCAGAAAACCTGTTGGAGGTGGCTGTAAAACATGATGGAGGCTCTGTCATGGTAAAGAGCTGCATTTTGGCCAGAGGTGTTGGGGATCATGTTAAAATTGATAAAATCATGATAGCAGAAAAATACCTTCAGATTTGAATTCACAAATCAATGCCACCTTTTTCAGCATGACAATGATCCCAAACAATGAAGCACCATCATTCATGGATTGGCCTCCATAGAGGCTGAACCTTAACTTTATTGAAGCAGTGTGGGGTCATCTTGACAGAGAACAGAATAAAAGGCCTCAACATTTAAAGAAGAGCTTTAAATGACTTCAAGAAACCTAGAGATCTTTCCTGAAGACTACTTAAAGAGAGTAAATTCAGGATGTGTTCAAGAATAAAGGTTGTCATATAGATGTCACACATTATTATATAGAACAGAAAATCTGTGCATGATAGAATCTTACAGTATGTGGATGTTATGCAGCAAGCAGTCTATGTCCATACTGAACAGCCAGGAAAGGACTCATTGATGGTGGGATCTGACTTTTCTTCCCAGGTAATTCTCACTCTGTGATATTTTCATCTATCCGTGGCCGCTGATCCGTCCCTAATCCAAATCCTGGCTCTAATTACACACTCACACTTTCACACACTAAACATTTGCACAGTATACACAAAATCCAGCTTGTGCACAGCTACACACTTTGCTTTACATATACCCACAAACACAAACACACGGGGACACATGCACGCACGCAAGCACACTAAAGGAACCACGCTGTGAGGTTTGTCTTAGCCCGGGCAGAGAAAGTAAAACAGTTTGTTGTGGTTGTGGTAACTGAAGTGCTATTTCCATGTATTAGGCAGGCACCACTGAAGCTCTTGCATTTGGGAAAGTAGGAATGTGTCATATTGAAAATCAATGGCTGCACTTTTTGCAGAGACACACTGCGCTGTATTGATTTGGGGTGTTTAAATTAAAAATTTAAAAACAAACAAACCAATAAACATTGAGGTGTGATGCAACAAGTCACCAGACAGTACAAAAATGCTGTGGGTAAGTGCTGATACCGCTGATAGCAAATAGCTACTCTGGCTTGTGTTAATAGGGTCACTCTCAGTGATGCATTTGTCACATCTAGGTAACAAATTAGTGGGATTCCCATGATGGTCTGGCCTACTTAATAAAAGTTCAACAACACCTGGATTAGAATGTCCACTGCACCTGGTGGTTTAGGCCAAACGTGACGTGTTCTATCTTTTCGTGCACATTTCCATTTTTATAACTTAGGGCTAATGGCCGATGCGTAGACGTAAATGTATGATTGTGCCAATCTTTATTGCCACTTCTCAGAAATCCCAAGATCTTTAAGAAAGAGATCTTGGAACAGCTTGAAAAGATGAGACTTTCTGGAGAAAAAAATTAATTAAATCTCAGTGAATTGATTCCTTTTTCAACTGATGCTTGTATCACAGCGTTGATGGTGGAGGTTTATTTTCTGAGCCTATTGTTCAGGACTAGAATGCAGGATTACAGGGAGCATAAATGGTGATGGGCCCGCGGTGACATCACAATCGGAAAAACTTTTCAAGGTCATCTCTAAAAAAGCGAGCAACCATATAAAAAAATAGAACATCTATTAAAATATGTTATGAGCAACTACTTGCAGAAAGAGCAAGAGAGGCTCTTTTTCTCTGAATGAATAAACACGTTAGCCAACAAACACACACAATCACTTGCTTTTCTTTCCTGTGCTACTTACTTGTTTCCCCCATCTCATATTCGCTGTCTCTCAGCAGTTCAAAGATGTCCACCTCCAGCTTGCCAGTGATGGAGCGGTTACTGCTCCTGTTGATGCTGTCTTTGGCCAGCGTGATAGCCAGACGCTCTCCTCTGCTGCACTCCATAGGGTCATCAAGGATGGCAGCTGAGAAAAATGGAAAAGGCCATTGTGTTGTGAGACTGAGAGAAAATCCCCCAAAATAAAACACATTTATTCTCAGTGGTAAGTGAAATATTTCCCAAATGAAGGAGAGTGAAGGTGGCCTTTTTGCCATTGAGTTGAGGAATTTAAAAAGACACTTTTTCCCCTTTCTTTAATAAAAAGTCTAGTCTACAGAAAGCAGCTCCCAAGGCGGCGCACAGGCTTATTAGGACCAGTGCTTATTTGACTTTTCGTGAACACCTTTCTCCATTATTCTTGAGTACCTCCAATGGCACAGCATTATCCTTAATAACTCCATACACTTTTCCAAGCAGCTTGTAGAGTAGGGGTGGGGTATTTAATATTTCCAAAAAGGTGAAGTGCTACATAATGTAAATAATGGATCTGTATGTTAAAACCCTGAAATCTTAAAAGCTTTAAATTCTTTCACCTATTCAAAGGCATTTTAAAGGGCAGCACAAAACCTAAAAGTCATAACATCCTCTATCATGCAGCACAAGAATGAAAATCAGCATCTGTAATGGCATGCCAGACACTTAGAACACCAGTCACTGCAGCAGCTTTCCAAAGACGCTACGTACACCGTGTAGGTCTACAAAATTAAATCAGTTTGTCACAAGAACACTAAAGAATGACAAGACAGCATGTTGTTCTCCAAAATGATTTAGGTGCATTCTCTATGCAATATTTGTTGCAGTGTAGTCGCATTATAATCAGAGGAACTGATTCCTGTCTTGTATATGGCTTAGCTAAGCCAATTATAAAGGGATTGGATATAGATGATGCTTTCTTCTCGTTTTTATGCAGAAAAAATAATGTAATTCCACCACAATAAGGCTGCAGATGGTTATTATAAATCATTGCACAACACATCATAACTAAGGAGTGGCACATTTGTGTGCATGCTCCAATTTTTTTCTTTTTGGGAACAACATTATGGACTTACTCCGTGACCTTTAACGGCACAGGTGTCACATTGTCATGATGAGCAATTATGCAGGCGCAGCAAACATCATCTGTTTACTGTGTTGTCAGAAAGGAGAGAAACAGAATTGCACACAGCTTCTCATTCTGTCTCTTATTTTTGATTATCAGTCCAACCATTAATGGGCTTTTTTTCGTGAAATTGTGTGGCTTGATCCACTGACTCTATGCTGGATCAATGCTCGTTAGAGTCAGCAATATATCAACAATCAGTCAAGTGCCTATTCATTACATAACTGCAACAATTTTGAAATTATATATTGACAACTTAATCAGCTTTCGACTCAATTACATCAACAAATATTTATATGAAATGCAAGACACCTTCAAAAGTCTACAGTCAGGAAAGTAAAGCCTAATAAAGTGTGCAGCAGATGTCTGAAAGCAGGCTTTGTAATTACTGTAATTACACTGGGCTAGCACAAAGGTTCTTAAGTTAAATCGATTACATCTGCAGTTAAAGCGCAGGCAGGAGATAAAAGCAACCAACCCAGAAAAGTGTGAAATTAATAAGGCACAAAAAAAATACAATTAAGTACAACATGGCTGAAAGGGAAATGTGCTGTAGGCTGTCCAATATAGAAGAAAACCGTGGGTTGGGTGTCTCATCTTATCAGAATTAAATGATCAGACGTGCATGCAAAGCTGAAACATGTTTGAAGTGACCTTTTCCCTACGGATCACACAGCTGAATAAACATCAGCTAACTCTGACTCGCAAAGATGAGACATACCCACTCATCTGATACCATCACAGCGCCAAGTCACAGCAAGTCAATATCTACAGCCCACTGAATGCTCTGTGAACAAGCGGAGAGTAGCCGTGGAAGGTCATCTGAGGTTGCACTCACCTCTGGCTTTTAAAGCTGTGAACAAAGGACATGTTTGCTTCTTCATGGACCCAATAGACTACTTCTTGATTATTTCCAGCTTAATATCATATTATTTAGACACCATTGTAAAATCAAGAATAAGATGCCTTCAAGAGCTGTGTGATGGTGCAGCTCACAGGTCTTGGGTTCGAATCAACCAGACAGCTGGGGCTGTGTTTGCATGTTCTTGCGCTTGTGTGGGTTCTTACCAGCTCCAAAGATATGAACGGGTTAGGTTAACTGGAAATTCTAAAGCGTGCGTGGGAAAGGCTGTCTGTCTCTTTGCTTTAGCCCAGCAGTACACTGGAAACCTGTCCATGGTGTATACCAACTTTTGCTGGGATAAGTTCCAACCCTGAATTGGATAAGCAGACGAAAATGGATGGCTGGATGGAAGTATAGAGAACTTTTCCTGGATTTAATTGTGTAGAGAAAAAATGACTCTGTTCCAAAAATCTTACATTAGCTCTCTCCTCTCTGTCCTAACACCCCCCATCACACAAGCACAGTCTTTATACAGCTAAAAATGTATCGGTGCTGACTTTTATCGTCACATTGGATTTAGTGCTTGCTCTTCCAGGTGAAACACTTTTGCTTAAACCGGCAGCATGCCTTGCTTCCTGTGTGGATACTACTCAATTGAAACTGGCTTGAAACAATATTTGACCGGTTAGTCTCCTGTCACGGGCTCTTCTAAAGCCAGAAAACAGGAGGCCAGTTTCCTCTCAGATACAGTATGCAGGCTATTATGGAATATGGGAGTCATAATAAATGACAAAAAAACCAAAAACCCAACATGCATGTTGACAGAACATATTAAAGATGTGATGAAGGATAATAAAACTAAAACAAACAAACATTGTATGACTGCAGGACACTGTCGACTTTAAGTAATTTAATTGCATTTTCCAGTTAATTTTTTTCCATAAGTGTAAAACATTTAAAACATTTAATTGATTGGTATGCATTCAGCTTATACTAAGCATATTTTCTTAACAATTCATTAGTTATTAAACAAATAAAACTTTGATTTCATATATTTCAGCTAGATTTTACTCAAAATGATTTCTTCCTGTTAATGAGGGCAAAGACTTGGTTTTTGGAGTGTAGAATAAAGTATGAACAGCAGGATTCATTCTAAAAAAAAAAACTTGATTATACGGACTCACTAACTGCGCAGTAATTGCTTCATCCGGCCATGTTAAATAAATTTTGAATCAATGTTGAAATACTGATGAAACTTGTCAGTGTAATAGTAATGACATTGGAATAACATTGATTCAGTTTGATTAGGTTGATTATGTTTTTCTAAGATACGATAAGACAAGACTTTATTGATCCCACGACGGGGAAATTTTTTGCGTTACCTCAGCGTAGGTACAGATATCAGAAGGAAATACAAAAATACAAATAAGTACAACCAATGAAAAAAAGTAAGATAACACACTATATACAACGGTAGCATACACAGTATGTGATTATGGATACAGTTGTGGAAATATGCAAGACATAAACTATATAGCTTATAATTGTCGTTGTTTATAATTGATGATCTAGTTATAGTTGACCAAGTGAAAAGTTATGGATTCAGAGATGACTGGGTAATTGAAAAGCTATTATCAATTGAACTGTTCCATCACACCCCTCGCAATGTGGTACATCCCGTCTGACCACCATTGGTCACTGATCTATGGTTGACCAGGAATTTATATTAAAATACGATTTATTTATAGATGAAAAATCATGATAGCTGTCAATATAGTTGACTGGGAAATTAGAGTATTGCATCCCATCTGTCCACTATTAAGATGATATTTAAAAATCTATGATACAGGAGACAATCCTGTATTAGTTGACATCACTGCACCCCAGAGATCTCCTCTGCATCAGGTAAGCATTTACTTATTTTTTAATATTTTAAAGGTGCCAAATGTATTTTAACCAATTATATTTCATACTTCGTCAAATACTGAGTACAGTGACACATATTGCAGATGTGTAACTGTCACCATGGTCATTATTAGGCACTTCAAAATGTCAATAACCGAAGTTAGCTTGCTAACGTAACTGACAACTTACACAGATTATGTTAGCTAGGATGAATTCTGGAAAGAGAGAGATATATATGAAAACCTCTGAACAAAGTCTGCTTTTTCCTTATTTTTTTTTCATGTCCTATTTTCAGTTTTTGGTTTTGTTTTCTTTTTGTACATGGAGTCACTGAGCAAGTGGAGGCAGTGACAGTCTGTGACTCTTTTACCTTCAGGCAGTTCACCAGGTGGAGGCAGGACATCATTCAGTAGGAGTGAATTCATCAAAAATTATTGTAAACTAATCTTGATTTAATAAATTAAATAACTTAACTGATGTTAGAGTTTAATAGTACACTCAAAAATGTTTCACTCAACATCATTACACCATTTATTATAAGATAAGTGAATTTAGATAAGTAAATTTCATTATTCTGAAGTAGTGGAAGTAATTTTTTTTACATCAGTTGAAACAACACTTATGTCCTCTTGATCTTTAGTAGTGACGTCCACATTGTTTCAGTATTAACTGAGGGTGCAAAAATGATCAAGAACCAATATCAGAATTCAATGATGATTCAATGACATTTAGGTTGAGAGTATAACATTGATTTTACATACGTTCAATTATTGTTTGCTATCTGTGTCAGCATCTCAATAACTGTATATTTCCCCAGTTTAATTTGCAGATCTGTGTGTGCGTGTAAAAAGCCACACTGATTGTTGTTTCTTTAGTGGGCTCTTTTCTCATTTAAGAAAAAAACAAGAAAGAAATATCACCTCAAAGCTGCAAGAAAAAATATAAATGCCAATACAGTATTAGTATTTTAGTTAAATGCTGTAATGCACAATGAAAGCTACCCGCAGAAGTAAGTAAAATCAGTAATTCTGGCAGGTTCTGTTCCCGGAGGAATTGACATTTTACCGTGGTCAATACATGACAGCTGGCAAACAAGCAGGGCTGTTTTCACGCAGCGAAAACACGGGCTAGAGTTTGATCCATTGAAACCAATCAATGAGTTGCCAGAAGGTATGCTGAGGCATGGTGGCATCTGGACTGTGAAAGAGAGCTTCAGTGAAAAATAGGCAAAAACAAA